TGTGTTTTTTATAACCTTGGTGGTCCTTAATGGTGCGTGTGGAACTGAAAGTTTTGTCACTTTTTACCTGAAATCTATAATTCCTAGCTTTACTATGTCTCTTTGCTGTTACACGTTCTATAGACCCGATATCTCCACGTGGTTTACCTTTGTTTTGTGTTTAATGTATGTTTGTGCGTTTGTTTGTTCGTTACGTCTGACTAGTCAATAAATTCCATTATAATCAAATGAATTGTATTGTTTGCCTCACGAGAAAATGTCACTGAAATACAGATTCCCCTGCCTAGCTATTATAAGTTGTTTAAAACTTTTGAATGATTAATCTACTTCACAAGAAGTAGCAATTAAATTCCCTTTTTCTAAATGAATAGATCATTACTGTGTCCGCTCGGAAGAGCGGCGGCTCTGCTTGTGTTCGTTTGGTCAAATTAACAATAAATTGATCCGGAATATTAATGATTAATAATAATTCGTTATTGTTGATAATTAATATTCATAATCTGGGAATCCGCTCGGTCGCGCGAGCATGATCATTTACAATCATATGTTTGTTTGACCAAATTGACTGAAGCTTAAGCCGTAATATTAAGAATAAACCGTTATTGTTGATTATTAATATTCATAAAATGAGCTAATTTCATGTTACACTTATTAAAGTGTGAAAAAGGACATTCTGTGTCTGTGAAGTTAATGAGGGAGAGTTTAACTTGCTGTTAAAGTATACACAGGACGTATTTGGAGAACAGTATACACACATTTCTGACCTGATACTGTACAGTTCTTCAGCAGAAATGTAGAGAACAAGTTTCACTGCTCAACTACAATGCTGAAACTGTAGTGTTAATATGAGCAGTGTTGGGAAGGTTACTTTGGAAATGTAATAGATTACAGATTACAAATTACCCTATTTAAAATGTAATAAGTTACTGTAATTTTTGATTACTTTATAAAAGTAAAGTAACTAATTACATTTGATTACTTTTTGATTACTTTTAATTTTCTAGTAAACATTTTCAACTAAATAATTTTCAAGCTTTTATACAGAGCAGGAGTGAGCTTACATTAGCTCTGTTTACTGTTCAAATCTCAAAAGCTTTCATCACTTAAATAAAATGTATTTAATTAATTTAAATTTAAAGTAGAGCCACCACAAAACCAGACTTTATCACAGAAACATGTTTACTGTTGTTACAAAATCAAAATTTTAGTTAGTTGTGCAGGTGATTTATGTGGCATTTGCAATAAAAAAAATACATCTAATTTTTGCAATTTTCATTTTTATATTGAAGCCACTTAAATTCAATTCAATCGCATCTTAGAGATCAATAAAACTGCCAATGAGACATATGAGGCAGAACTGTTCATTTCAATTATTTACTGTAACTAATATGCTGTACCAAACAGGAAAACATTATAGTACATAACAGCAAAAACAAAAAAAATCCAATTAAACCAGGTGTTACACATTTAAAACACTATTGATCCGCGATCTGTAATATAGCTTGAGTAGACACTACTGTACTACTTCACTAATAAAATAGCTTCGCTACTGTGAAAAGCTATTTGATTTTTTAGCGACGCTACCGCCACTCTACTGAGAAATGTATTTAAGCTAGCTACACTGTAAATGTTATAACATCACTTTGGCCAGAGTCTGCTGGTGCCCTGAAATTCACAAATCGATAACTTTGTGAGTCATAACATATAATTGGGAATGAAAGGGTCTGTGCACTTACGATAACGACAAAAAACATTTTTGCTTTTATTAAACAAAGAAAGGCTAGCTTACATACCTGCAGATGCTTCCTCAAGCTTTTCAATGGCAAAGAGGATTAGACGTGGTGCGCCCATGACCATTAATTTGATTTAAAAGTAGGAGGGCCAATAAATATAAAATTTCTTATGAGCAATTTTTTGAAGATTTTTTAAAGGGGACACAAATAATACAGCCGAATTGTACTTATAAAGATATGTCCCCACAGTTAAAAATGGTTTTATTGTTCATATTACAGCATGGAGACTACATTATGGTTATTGTCAAAGTATTTCTCAGGTTCAATGACAGCAAATTTTTCATCAAAACTATTTATTGCATTGTTTGTTGTGTTGTTTACAGTCAACAGACTGACTCCTGAAGCCGCATAAATGCAGAAAGACATTTTCCATACTCATAATAACTAACTGGTTTACATTACACTTGTTAAATTGACAGATCATATTGTAAATCGGTGAGCCTGTGAGGTTCATCTACTAAACAGCCACAACTTAGAAAACATAAAAAAAAATTGTTCACCTCTAAAAGAATTGTCATTATCCCTTCAATAAAGCACAACACCCTTACCTGACACTGTACATCTGACTGACCCTGCTCTGCCTGTTCCTCAATCAGTTCTTTCTCCTCTGCCTGTGATTGATAATGTGACATTAGTATTTTCATAAGCACTCATTCTGAAAGCCAAATTGCTTAATATGTGAACTTTTTGTACTTGGAGTTTTGCTGCACTGAAAAATTATCTTATGTCCATTTTCCTTTTCTCTGTCATTTTATCATTGAGGTAAAGTTGGTTTTATATTTGCACATTCAGTCTCTCATAATATAACCTCAGAAGAGTATTCATTGGAAATTCTAAATGGTAAAATTATATTAGTAGCCAACAACCATCAAAGTACAGCATTGTTTACAGTTAGTGTTAATATTATATTGGTTTACCTAAAGGTTCTATAAAGACGTTGCAACTGATACAAAATACAGCAGTCAGAGTTTTATTGAAATTGAAGACACAAGAACATATCACAGCAGCATTAACAGAATAAATTTTAGGATTCTTTTATTAGTTTATAAGGCACTACACAACATGACACCTTTCATACTTTTCTGACTGCTTATCAAAATATAATCCAAACCGTTTGCTACGCTCTTCTAGCACTCGACTTTTAGAATTTCACTTTGTAAATCTGATGCGATCTGGCGGCACTTCTTTTACTCACTATGCTGCAAAATCTTGGAATTGTCTCCCAAATTAAGTAAAGAATCCCCCAGAATTTATTTTTAAAAAGCTTGTTAAGACGCACCTTTTTAAAATTGCGTATGAATATAAGTTTGTGAAGTTTATGCAATTTATCTATATCGTGTAGGTTTATGTACATATGCATGTACGGTGTGTGTGCATGTATGTAAAGAATATTGTGTGTGATTGTGTAGATGTATGCATATATGCGAGTACATGTATGCTTTTATCTGAGTATATATTTTGCTTTAATTGTCTAATATACATTTTTTTGTATTGGTTTATTTTACAATGCCTGTTTGTTGTTTGTGAAGTGCCTTGAGTTCTATGTATGTAGGAAAAGTGCTATACAAATAAAATGTATTATTATTATTATTATTAATGTTATTTTAAAGACAAACTTGCATGAGATTTCAGTTCAATTATTCAAAGGACCATGGTAAACAATGTATGGAGCTGTCACTGAATGAATGTGCGAATATAAAACCAACTTTACCTTAATCATTTTATCTAGTCCATGACACTGCAATGCAAGTTTATTCTGTAGCACATTTTATATACAATGCTGATTCAAAGTGTTTTACATAAAGAATGAAAAACTATCATAAAAATCATCACAACAATAAAAACAAGGACATTTTATATTTTAAATTAATTTAGTCACCTAAGAACAACTGAAATTGATTATACAAAAAATAAAGTGGGGCTAGTTTGGACGTAACACAGTGCTCATTTAGCAAATCCACAGATAAACAATATGCTAATTGTGGCCGTTAATGTAAAGTTAACATTATGCCAAGTCGTCACAAATGAAACAATGCACTTTGGCGTGCTAATACAGCAGATTCATGGACATCGGTAATCTGCATTTTTGCCGCAAGTCGTCACAAATGAAACAATGCACTTTGGCCTATTATTTTGCAGTGCGCCACTAACGTATGCAACAAGCTAAACAAGCATACGTTAACTACATGAGTCATTTTAACCGCTAATACAGCAGATTCATGGACATCGGTAATCTGCATTTTTGCCGCAACTAATTTATAAATGATTCTGCATTAACTTTGAAGAGAATCGATTTATTTAATGTGATTAATACACCATACTTACTCAAATTCAACATTTACCCGTAGCCACACACCTAACTTCTGTCTGTCTGTCTGTGACTGTGTGTGACAGGAAGCGTGTACGTGAGGAGTAGGTGGATCAAACCACTTTGAGAAAGCGGGGGTGAACTCTTTCTAAATGCATTTTAAATAATAAATGCGGGTTTTTTTCTACTTAGACAATTATTTTAGGTATACACACATATATTCTTCAAAATAGAGAGTGCATTTATATATATATACATTTATATATTTTATTTGGTGAGGAGGACAATGAACTTGTTCCCCCCGGTATTTACGCCCGTGGTTGCGCCGCAAATCAAAAGAATCAGCGCTTGAATAAATGGCCTTAGCAGAAGCCATCGTGCATATCAAAAACAGGCAAAGCAATAGATTAATATTATTCAACATATCACAGAGATTTAAAGAAAATATATTAGATGTAACCCCATTTGTAATTTTTTACATTTTCAAAAGTAACTAATTTAATTACATATTTTTCTTAGTAACTGTAACTAATTACTGTTACTTTTATTTTGTAATTAAATTACGTAACGGCGTTACATGTAACTAGTTACTCCCCAACACTGGACGGGGCACACCATGGTAGGGGCCGGTGCAATGTGGCAGACTGTGGTGGGGGTTGGCGCGATGGGGCATACCGTCGTGGGGGCCAGTGGAAAGGAGCACACCGTGGTGGCATCCGGCAGGAAGGAGCAAACTGTGGTGGTTGCAGAAGCAGAAGAAGAGGTGCCTGTCCTTCTTTATTTGGAGGAAAGACAAACTGGTGTTTGGGGCCTGATGTTGATGGTGCCTCGTCCAATTTTTCCCTCGGCAAAGGAAGCTGCGTATCTGCCACAGCAATTGGATCAAGTGGAGTCAGTCCCTGAGTGAGTACACTCATTTCCTGATCCTTTTGCCTCCGTTGAAACCTGATAATAAATTATATGTATTATTCATATATATTAATTTAGAAGTATTCAGGTAATTTAAAGAAAATAATGTGCTTTGCTTACCACTGAATGAGCGTCTTCTGGTTTAGCTCAAAAAGCTGGATCACTGTTTCATCCATCAGCCTGCGACTGCCAAGCACCAGATCCCGGATGTGGTGGTAATCGGTCAGTATTTTAGACCACCTGTGCATGCGAACACCAGCCTTCTAGGAAGTGGACTTGTGTACGACACACAGCTTTGTACAAATGGCCTCAACCAAGCGGCTGGTGCTAGGCCACTGTGCTGGACCCCCAGGATGTCCAATCAGACAGCGCTTGACGCTCTCCACACCTGGAGTGACTCCGGAGCGCTTCGGTGCCTTAAAGCGCCCATGTGTCAGCTGAGGCTGATGTCGAGGCTGGTAGTTGATGCGCTGTTTATCAACATCCAGGAGAGCTGTCCACAGCTGGATGGCCTCTGTCACCTGCAGGTCAGTGAGGTAAGGAGCCTCACGAAGACCTACCAAATAAGCAGCCAGATCCTGTACCTTGTCCCACCCAGCAATGCCATCAGGTCCAATGACTACTCCCTGGTAAATACAGAATAAATTTAGTATATGTGGAATAAAAAAAAGACTAAATCAAATAAAGTTCTTAATATATCTTACCTGAGCCTCAACAGAGAGACTGTCTCCAGACTTGGATGGCTGTGACGGCACTGAGGGGGCTGGGCTAGGAAGCTGTCCTTCTCCACCAGCTGATGTGGACAGCTCAGCCAGTAATGCTGGGGACTGAGGCAGAGGCGAAGATAAGGGGCTGTTTCTGAGATCACGGCAGGGGTCATCCTCATACAGCACTGGAACTGTGATGTCCTCCATGATCTCCTCCTCAAACCCGTCATCTTGTAGATCCTCGTCATGTACTTCCTCCACCAGCCTGTCTTCCTCCTCTGGGTTCTGGAGCACCGGAGTCAGGGTTTTGCCGGTCTGGCTGTAAAGGTGCTCCATTCCCAGCAATTCACCTTAAAAAAATAAAACAATAAAAAAACATATATTAAATAAAACTAATGATAAAATAAACATTTAGATTACCATTTTGTGTAGTACATTAAAAGCTTAATGAATAACTTCCATAACAACTAATTAATGGATTTCTTGCCTGTATATGCTCCAGGAGGGTGATAGCAGTTATCCCAGGGCTTGCGTCCTGAGACATATCTTTTGGTGGACAATGAGCATTGTGTTTTTCCTCTCTCTCTCCCTGCAGGTAACTGTGTCCACCTGGTAGCAATCATTGGATCTTTCTAGAGAGGAGAGAGAGTATTTAACCTGAGCTGCACTTCAAACCAGTGTTGGTGGTGTCAAGTGCAGTGGCGGAGCTTTTCTCCAAATTCAGACCTGACTCATGAGGTGAACGGATCAATTCTTTTTCCGGCTCTAAATGCATATGATTGGTTTCTGCCTTTCCGCGATGAACGACACGAAATGTGATGAAGACTTGAAATAACGATACCACCTGCACAAATGTACGCACGCGCAAATTAACAAATCACTCCCTGAGAGGACTTGTAGTTCCCAAATCATATTGAAGATTCGTTTAAAATGAACGAAATGTTCATGATCGACCCATTACTAAACCTGGTTAGATACCTGCTCCAGTCGGGGATTGAACCTTGTGATCTACCCAAAGTGTTATTTATGGACATAGTTCTTGAACCAGTACTGTTTTATATGCATTGAGTAGTTTCTGGTGGGCAAAAAATACAAAATATAACCTTAATTTCGCTTCTTTCTTTCTCAATTTCTCAAATTTTTCTTCCCCTTCCAAAACAGACTATTGTTCCCCAGCTTTAGCGGAGTCGGTAGAGGGTCCAGGGTTCAAGTCTGTGTTCGGGCATGAGAGACTCTTTGTGGAGCCACAGCTTTTGCCGTTGAGCTATCGCTTGCTGAAAGTTTCATCTGAATGAACAACACATGTACTAGGCATGAGGACATGGGAGAACAGGCAGTCTTGTAGTCATGCCTGCGTGGTTAAGGCGATCGACTAGAAATCGGTTGGGGTATTCTCCCGCAGGTTCAAGTCCTGCTAACTATACCCACATCCTGTTCCTTTTTAAAATTGCAGCAGTCATCAATGTTTGCATTTCCATTGTTTCTTGGGAAAAGCGTTGTGCTGGTAGGAGGAGAAAAACAACTGTGTGTTCTCACTGAAGAGAAAGGGGCTTATCACATGGAGGAACATACCACAAAAGATCCACAGCGGCAATCCTGTAGCTTGCTGTGATTGTATAGTGCTTAGTGTTCTGCATTGTGGCTGCAGCAACCCTGGTTCGAATCCGGGTCACGGCAGGTTTTTCAAGGTGACATTGGTGTCGCACTCTGTGTTGCCATCCGTTATCTCCAGCCTTCTTTTAGTGCAGGCTGTGCTAATGGCACGTCCTGAATGTTTACGTTTCCTAAAGTGTGGAAGACTAGGGATATGATATAAGAGAAATAGGATCTTTGATGCCAGCATACTGTGTAGATAAGTACTGATCAAGTCACGCTTCTAAGGCATGGAAGGAATCTTTTCAATTGTTGAGTGTCCATTCATTGCCACAACAGCAGAAAGACATTCTGCAGTTATCATTGATCTATTTAATGTTTCCTACATGACATGAAGTCCAAACTATTGTGTTGTACTGATGTCTACACCTACAAAAACCATAAACCCAACCTCAAAGTAACCTGTCGTGTTTTAGCAACATCCACACCAACCATAAGCTTAAAACCCCATCTCACGGTAAACTTTAGTGTACTGTAAAGGTCTGCGCAGACCACAGCCCAAACCTTGCCTACTTGTAAACTACTGTTGTGGAGCCCGGATAGCTCAGTCGGTAGAGCATCAGACTTTTAATCTGAGGGTCCAGGGTTCAAGTCCCTCTTCGGGCGTGAGACGCTCATTTTGTGGAGCCACAGCTTTTGCTGTTGAGATATCGCTTGATGAAAGTTTCATCTGGATGCGCAATATGTGTACTAGGCATAAAGAAATGGCAGTACAGGCGGTCTTGTAGTCATGGCCGAGTGGTTAAGGCGATGGATTAGAAATCCATTGGATTCTCCCCGCGCAGGTTCGAATCCTGCCGACTACGTCCTCCCCCTTTTTAAAATTGCAGCAGTCGTCAATTGTTTGCATTTCCATTGTTTCTTGGGAAAAGCGTTGTGCTGGCAGGAGGAGAAAAACAACAGAGTGTTCTCACTGAAGAGAAAGGGGCTTATCACAGGGAGGAACATACCACACATTTGTCACAATGGCTGTTTCGTAGCTCGCTGTGATCGAATAGTGGTTAGTACTCTGCGTTGTGGCCGCAGCAACCCCAGTTCGAATCCGGGTCACGGCAGGTTTTTCAAGGTGACATTGGTGTCGCACTCTGTGTTGCCATCCGTTATCTCCAGCCTTCTTTTAGTGCAGGCTGTGCTAATGGCACGTCCTGAATGTTTACGTTTCCTAAAGTGTGGAAGACTAGGAATATGATATAAGAGAAATAGGATCTTTGATGCCAGCATGCTGTGTAGATAAGTACTGATCAAGTCACGCTTCTAAGGCATGGAAGGAATCTTTTCAATTGTTGAGTGTCCATTCATTGCCACAACAGCAGAAAGACATTCTGCAGTTATCATTGATCTATTTAATGTCTCCTACATGACATGAAGTCCAAACTATTGTTATGTACTGATGTCTACACCTACAAAAACCATAAACCCAACCTCAAAGTAACCTGTCGTGTTTTAGCAACATCCACACCAACCATAAGCTTAAAACCCCATCTCACGGTAAACTTTAGTGTACTGTAAAGGTCTGCGCCGACCACAGCCCAAACCTTGCCTACTTGTATATTACTGTTGTGGAGCCTGGATAGCTCAGTCGGTAGAGCATCAGACTTTTAATCTGAGGGTCCAGGGTT